AAGCTTTCCGTCCCAATAGCTGGCGAAAATACGTTAGGTGACAAATATGCACCACCAAGCATTTGTGGAGACAATACATCGGGACAAAAAACGAAAGGGCTGAGGACAAGCGGACTCAGCACGTACGGATTCAGAACATTCGGTGACAGTACATACGGGTTCAGTACAAACGGTGCCATGATTATTGGAGTCATTACGTATGGCGACAGGATATACGGACTGATCAAAAAAGGCATTGCAATAGCAGGATTCAACACGAATGGACCCCATATCGAGGGATTGAAGACCAGCGGACTGAAGATGTTCGGCGATAACACCACTGGACCGATGATACTAACGCCATAAATCGGCGTAAACATGTAAGGTGATAAAACCACCGGACTTACTATAGAAATTGCATCACGCTTCCGGCGCTCGTTCACCTGCAATTATGTAGTTAGATTGCGTGCGGCTGATGATAAAGCAACACAAAGTAGAGGGAGCTGGCATAGTCATGTCCATGTGTCGCAGAAAACCCTCGAAAAGCAGGCCAAGGAGCCGCCACAAAGAAAAACAAAAGAAGGGTGCGAAGAAGCAGGTTCGATTTTTTCCCGGCCCAGAACAATTGTTGAGAAAGGGCTCCGTTCATGACACTGGGTTTCGATGCACCTTTGCAATGTCGGAACTTATACTGACGCCTCTGGTCAATTTTGGTGATATTCGGCTATTTTACAACTCTCGTCAGAAATGCTCAATTTTTGGAAGCCTATAATCCTTCTTTTGCCAAATTTAAATTTATGTGGCGAAGGGAATAAGCCATTCCAACAGTTGTATGTAGAAGATCAAGGAAAGAAAGAAATCAAGCGCCAGCGCTTTAGCAAACTAATTAATTGTGGCACAGTTTTGCGCACTGCAACAATAGAAAGGTTGCCACGAAGGTACACTACACGACAGCTGATCAACTTAACGAAGTAAGCCATTGGATTAAGATTGGTCAAGATACTACTAAGTGAAAGTTTACACTTGTGTTTCTTTCGCAAAACAACTAACTTTGGTACGATTGCGGGCAATGACTTCAATATAGGTCCAGAGTGCATCCTCTCGTTTCCGTCTATCGAGCTTCTCATACCTTTGCATGTCAAATTCTACATCATTTGGATTTTTTATACCTGCAAATCAGATTATCAGTTCAAAACTTTTCCAGAACTAATTTTCAGCGAAAGAGGCAAAGCTATTTGTTCATAGTCTTAATCTTTTATTAGTGTAGTTTTCCTGGTCCTCTTTTTTTTTCTACCACATTTTATATTACACTGCTGGTATGAGAATTTTTTTATGTAACAAACTCTTCCAGTTTACTAGTTGTACTAAATGTAAGCTTTTTAGAATAAAATAACACGCAACTTCTCTTGCTGGAACGAGCGCATTGGGTCCCGTGGA